TAGAAGCAATACAAACTATTACGTTGTTTCTAAAGCAAATTCTGACAATAATCATAATTAGTCACTTGATAGGCATACAGTGTTGTTATCATAATGCTGTTAGCAGTAAAAATAAATGTTTTCCAAAAGGGTAGTAAACATTTAGCTTGCTAATCTGAGCCACCATGCTCCATGCAATGTTACAAAAAAGAGACCCCCCCCCCCCCGCCGCTTGTTTCAGTGTGATTTCAGTAAGTTTGCTAGATGCACCCACTGCGCTTGAAAATGGAGGGTGCGCAAGCTACAGTCCAAAAAGCAGCTTGGGTAGGGAGACTACTACAGTAGCGAAAATGTACATTTAGTCTGAATTAATGATTCGCACAGTACTACAGTCTTTATGAAATGATTATTATGTTATGACAAATCCTTAAATATATTACATTTTGTTGAATAAATTCTTTGAAATAGGATTTTTTAAACATCAATTCCGGGCAATGACCGCTTGGCGCCACTCTCACACTGTGACAGGCAGCACGTCTGTCAACACAGACGCTATTTGCATGTCATCCTGTGTGCAGTGATGATGTTTTGTATTTATATAGGATTAAGATAAGGTTAAAAAAAAATTAACAAATGCACATTTTTTGCCCTTATTCTTGTTCTTCAGAAAGATATGGTAATGTTGTTCACTAACATTTTACATGGTTCATGCTTAACTCACGTGCCTTCTAGCTTATTAAAGCAGTAATTAACTTGTGTTTTAAACAAATTAAATGTCCTGACCTTTATTATTAATTTAAATAACTTCTTCTCTGTTAAAATAAATTAATAACTCACATATGGTACATGTAATAACGTCCATTTTCGCCATTGAAATCAAGTTATTCGGTCTGTACGGAACACTGTTGATAGCCTGTACGGAACACCATTAACCCTAATGAATTTCCGTACACATGCGGAGGAGGTACTTTTCCCCACCTATCTCAAATACTATTGGTTCAAAAGACATCAATCAAAGAATAAACTGTCTAATAGGTATTCCCCCAGGGAATGAGCATACAAACATGCTTGTCAGGCTCTCAACAACAGCGTGGTGGTCAGTGGAGTGCAGTGAAGTGAGCAAAGTGTACAGAACATGGTTAGTCTACGTTAATTGTAATCTTATTGTCTCACAAACACAAAAGACACATTTCTGTCCACTAAACGAAGACAAAGCGCTGGAGAACAACCTTCGAAATAACAATCCAACTAACGTTACATATTTCTTCTAACAGGGTAGTAAAAGTTTAGCTGGCTAATATGAGCGTCACTTCTCACGGTGTCTATGGCTAGCTTCAGTTTTCAGTTTTCATTTGCATTGCTAAAGTTGGAATACCTTACCTGTCCAGCAGAAAACAGGCAACTTCGGCGTTGCTTTGAAGACATTTTTCCCTCATTAGACCCTTCCATCTGGGAAAAGCCACACCGATGTTTACCCGTGATTTCTGCCTGCGTCGCTCCCATATTAGTCTGGCTTCATCATACTTTCGCTTCTTCAAAGCAGATTCACCCTCCGTCAGTTCTTGTGCTAAATAATAGCTGTGGTCCTCCATTTATCCAAAATTCCACTTCTAATAAAGGAGAGCTTCTACTATTACCTAGTAGTAAGAAACGTACAACTTCTTCTTCTGCTTTTGCTGCTCCTGCTACTACTTCTTCTTCTGCTGCTGCTTCTTTTTCTGCTGCTTCTCTTTCAAGGTAGTGACGAAACGCGCACTCTGTAGCGATATTTGTTCGCATTTCTGTCAATAGATCCTCAGAAATATTACACACTGAACCTTTAACTAGTAACTATAGGCTATTTATGTCAGTTGTTGCAGTTAAACTGCCATCCTTTTAATTAACACCTAAAACACTGCTGAGGGTGCAACTGTGTGTACACTTTGTGACAGTTAGCCATGGTTTTCGTTCACTTTCGGCGTCATGCACCACCACGCACCTGGAACGCTTTGATGTGGGAATTCAGACATTTCAACGGGGAAATATCCCAGTTCCGACTGGTCTCGAACACAGCATAACTCCTTCAAAACTTTCTACCAATCATAACACTCTTCCAGGGACAGCATATGGACACTGAAAATAGTATCAGTCATCGGCTGCTCGACCTGATTTAGTGGGCGGGCCACAACACGCTGATTGACAGTTAAGGAAGAGGAAGGAAAAAGCAATACACAATAGGTCTCTAAGGGAAAAGCAATGACAACAGGTCTCCTTGGGGAAAGGCAAAAGCAAATGTATGTATTTATTCTTTTATTCATTCTTTCTTTCTTTGATATATTTCTGCATTTATTTATTTATTCTTCTATTCATTCTTTCTTTCTTTGATATATTTCTGCATTTATTTATTTATTCTTTTATTCATTCATTCTTTCCTTGATATATTTCCCCATTTATTTATCTATTCTTTTATTCATTCATTCTTTCTTTGATATATTTCTGCATTTATTTATTTATTCTTTTATTCATTCATTCTTTCTTGCATATATTTCCCCATTTATTTATTTATTCTTTCATTTAATTCTGACACTTTGGATGTTCCATACATTATTTGTGCATTTGTTAATGATAATTACTGTAATACATGGGCAGAATATTAAGATAGAGATCACTTTAGTTACTTTATGTGTTTCTAGTAGTTTAAACAGGCATCCTATTTTTTAACCTGCACATACAGACTGGGGACATATTCAATGAAAACAAAACTGAATAAAAGAGTGGAGAAACATAAAATGCAGATGCTTTCTTTAACCAGGGCTCACTGAATGGTTTGGTGAGTATGGAAATAATGTGAATGAAATGCTACGGCCTTTACAGTCACCAGATCTCAACCCAGATTCACACCTATAGATTTTGGACCAACGTGTAAGACAATGCTCTCCACCACCACCTGCTTAACACCAAATGATAAAATTAAACGTTCATCTTCAAATCTATTTAGTGATGTCAGTGACTGTTTTGTTATGTCTGACTATGCAAAAGTGAGATTCCCTGATTTAATAAAGGTTGTATATATAAATGAGGAAATTTCATTCGTTATCTCCAACAGAGTTTGTTTTGCATAAAAAATCTGAATCTACAAAGTTGTCTCTACAGCTTTCACATGAATGTAGTGGAGGGAAAAGTACAATATTTGCATATACTGTGAGGAAAATAAGTATTTGAACACCCTGCTATTTTGCAAGTTCTCCCACTTAGAAATCATGGAGGGGTCTGAAATTGTCATCGTAGGTGCATGTCCACTGTGAGAGACATAATCAAAAAAAAAATATCCAGAAATCACAATGTATGATTTTTTAACTATTTATTTGTATGATCCAGCTGCAAATAAGTATTTGAACACCTGTCTATCAGCTAGAATTCTGACTCTCAAAGACCTGTTAGTCTGCCTTCAAAATGTCCACCTCCACTCCATTTATTATCCTAAATTAGATGCACCTGTTTGAGGTCGTTAGCTGCATAAAGACACCTGTCCACCCCATACAATCAGTAAGAATCCAACTACTAACATGGCCAAGACCAAAGAGCTGTCCAAAGACACTAGAGACAAAATTGTACACCTCCACAAGGCTGGAAAGGGCTACGGGGAAATTGCCAAGCAGCTTGGTCCACTGTTGGAGCAATCATTAGAAAATGGAAGAAGCTAAATATGACTGTCAATCTCCCTCGGACTGGGGCTCCATGCAAGATCTCACCTCGTGGGGTCTCAATGATCCTAAGAAAGGTGAGAAATCAGCCCAGAACTACTCGGGAGGAGCTGGTCAATGACCTGAAAAGAGCTGGGACCACCGTTTCCAAGGTTACTGTTACACTAAGACGTCATGGTTTGAAATCATGCATGGCACGGAAGGTTCCCCTGCTTAAACCAGCGCATGTCAAGGCCCGTCTTCAGTTTGCCAATGACCATTTGGATGATCCAGAGGAGTCATGGGAGAAAGTCATGTGGTCAGATGAGACCAAAATAGAACTTTTTGGTCATAATTCCACTAACCGTGTTTGGAGGAAGAAGAATGATGAGTACCATCCCAAGAACACCATCCCTACTGTGAAGCATGGGGGTGGTAGCATCATGCTTTGGGGGTGTTTTTCTGCACATGGGACAGGGCGACTGCACTGTATTAAGGAGAGGATGACCGGGGCCATGTATTGCGAGATTTTGGGGAACAACCTCCTTCCCTCAGTTAGAGCATTGAAGATGGGTCGAGGCTGGGTCTTCCAACATGACAATGACCCGAAGCACACAGCCAGGATAACCAAGGAGTGGCTCTGTAAGAAGCATATCAAGGTTCTGGCGTGGCCTAGCCAGTCTCCAGACCTAAACCCAATAGAGAATCTTTGGAGGGAGCTCAAACTCCGTGTTTCTCAGCGACAGCCCAGAAACCTGACTGATCTAGAGAAGATCTGTGTGGAGGAGTGGGACAAAATCCCTCCTGCAGTGTGTGCAAACCTGGTGAAAAACTACAGGAAACGTTTGACCTCTGTAATTGCAAACAAAGGCTACTGTACCAAATGTTCAAATACTTATTTGCAGCTGTATCATACAAATAAATAGTTAAAAATCATACATTGTGATTTCTGGATTTTTTTTTTTTTTAAGATTATGTCTCTCACAGTGGACATGCACCTACGATGACAATTTCAGACCCCTCCATGATTTCTAAGTGGGAGAACTTGCAAAATAGCAGGGTGTTCAAATACTTATTTTCCTCACTGTAAGTAGCACCAAATGGAAACACTCAAGTATAGTGTAAATAAAAAATGTCCTTTCCACTGCTGGTCTCCTAGCAAAGAGACACAGCTTCAAAACAGTGCCCTGCTCAAGTCAGATTTAAGATTCAGGGGATTAATAGGGACATAAGCATTAGGGTCAAATCCAATTTCATAGTTATTATAAAAATAATGACTCAATAAATTAGTAATCATACCATAGCCCTATATGTGGCATAAACTTCCTTATTTCTAAACCAGTTGGAAGATGACTACAGTCATGTGCAGTCACACTGTAGTCTTTTTAGGTTAAACAAAATTTCTTAAATTTTTAATTTCTCAAAACTTTTTATTTTATACAAAGTAGGTTATTTTGTGGGTATTTAAAGAAAAAACTTTTTTTTAATGAACAATATACACAAGTTTACAGTAGCATATAATAAAAGCCAGATCATTTAATAAATCATGAGAATAAAAAGAAACACCCTATGTTAAGATGCATTTGACTAATAACTATATAGCAAAAGGAATGTAGCAGTGCTAAAATGTGACATTAACACATAATGTAATTTCAGTTCAAAAATAGCTCCATTGTTTCTGTATAATCTATGGAATAGGGACACACACTTAATGGCTTGTATTGTTTGCTCTACAAAAGTGCTTACCAGTCAATGTGCAGTGGATTTACAGTCAGTAAAATATAGTTTTACTTATATTTTAATCAAAAGGTCTTCAAATTGAAAAAGTAGTGTGTGAATAAAACATGTGTAAAGTCATAAATGTATTAATGCTACAGGATTTTTAAAAAGCCTGAACTTTTAATGTTAAATACTTAAAAATACAGCTTTTTAGTTGTTCCTCAACCTTTTTCATCCTGGGAGCACAAAGAACGGTGTCTCTTACACTGTGAACAGGACACATTAAAACATGTCTTTGTTACATAAGGAAATGCATTTATCCACATTTGTGCAACAGACCATCCTTGCACATGGTGAACCTGTCTGCCAGGTTTGGCTCAGTGGATCACCACACCTATAAAACAACAGCATACCTTTTTCACATTCTAGTAATTGCAGTGCTTTTAAATCCTAATGCAACCTGTGCGATGAAAAATAAAAAGCAGGGCATCTATTGAAATCTAAATGGATCTGCTTTGTGCAGCTGGTTTCGGCAAATATTGCACCTTTTAAACATTGTCATTAGTTTTATGTCTCTTCTGGTACATTGTGCACCAGACAAGACAAAGACAGCTGCAAATCCTGCATTACTGCCCTCCATTTTAAATCTCAGTTCACTGTTCATCTCTTCAGTCAGATTTTGTTTGGTTATTTTACCATGTCAGTGACCTGCATCAACCATTGATCTTTTCACTTCCTGTTTCCTTAGTTTCCTTTCCCATTTTAGAGGAGTATGTTTTTTCCCCATTTTCCAGCCTTTGACCTTTTTTGCGTCAGCGTCAGCCTTTCAGCACCTTCTCTTTAAGTAGGTCCAAGATGACCTGCCTCTCCTGGCTCTCCAGCTCAAATCTCCGTTCCCTCTCTTTTCTTTCAGCTCCCAGACGTTCCCTCTCCAAAGTGATCTTACCTGGGAGTAACAAAAAAAAGGCAAATGAAATCTGGAATTCAGTGCCCTTTGAGGATGATGACAGCATAACAGTCTGCATATACTCCTTTATTTTGATCAATTTTATGAAAGATTTTATCCATTTTAACTGGCATTACAGTAACAATTGCACGTCAACGCTGATATGTGTTCATTCTTGAAGAGTAAATGTTCCTATTTCCTTTTCTTACTTTAATTTAGCCTGGGTCCAGACTTCTGAATCGCTGCCCACATCCCAGATTTTTATGCACATGGAAATTCAGAATGATTATCATTATCAATTTTAAAAAAAAATTGTCTAGGATGAAAATAAATAAGGTTTTTAGAGCCTAATGGTTTACTAATGGTTCCATCTTTAAAAAGAATCCCCATTTTAGTTTTTAATTAATGTTCTGATAACTTCATCTAAAACAACTAACATCACCCCTCCTAAAAACCTCACTCCTTTGAATCTCCAGCTCCTCCCTGCGCAGGGCAAGCTCCTCCTCCCGCAGCCGTTGCTCCGCCTCTGAGCGTTTCTCCAGGAAGCTGAGGATCTCAGAGTAAGTCTGGCAGCAGCACTGGCAAGGCCGCTTGGCCATAGGTGCTGCTGAAACATCTGCCATTTCCTCACGGTCTTCTTCTGGTTCTGCTGGAATTATGTAAAATGTACTTCTGAATGGTATTTCGGAAGGGAACAGTCAGCTACAGAGCAACACCCATGGGGATGGCAAAGATTAATTGCTGAAGGGCACATACACATGCGTCCGAACTTGGAATTGAGGGATGGGTTGACGGATTTCACGAAAGTCTGTATTTTGAGTGGGAAACACTCCCCTGTAGACTTGAAAAGGCAGGTGCTGCGAATCCAAACTGACCACAACCTCTATTCTCCATAAAAGCAAAAGACAATGCAAGCTACATTTCAAGACCACAGCAGGTGTATGTTTCACCCAGATTTTGGACGGTGTATTACTTAAATTAGATTTTTTTAGCTGATTGGCTAATTTATTCTTATTGATTTCTTCTTATCATCCTATACTTCAAGTATCACATTATAAGATGTGTAGTTCTTTAAAAGTATATTTTACCTGCAGTGGGTGTTTGTGTGATAGTGATGTTGGGTTTGTCCTGCTCTGGTAGAGTTAGTTCTTCCATGGCTCGCTTTCTCAGTTCATCATCCTTGGAAAGATGAGGACAAGGTTAAATATCACTTGAACAACAATAAGAAAAGAAAACGAGAATTAAGCAACAGCAACATTTAGTAACAGATTTGGGATCCAAGTTTACTTGTGGCTGAATGCTACCAAGAGGAAGAAAAGGGAAGTCACCAAGTATTTACAGAAAACATAAAATATCTGCTGACTTAGCCTCAGTTCTAATGAAGTGTTACAGCAGATAAACTATAACTAACAGAGATGGAAAAAAGTGGTTCATCGACTGCATGGACAGGTTTGATGAGATAATGGGCACCCTTGCCCTAATAATAAAAAGTGTGGAATGAGTTTAAACTTTCAAGATCAAAAATCAAATGTGTAAAGCCAGATAAACACATATTGTATGATATATCTAATCCCAGACAATTTAGTCTGGTTCCCAACCAAGGGCTGGAGCCCACCAGGGGGTCACTAAATGTATACAGTGAGGGAAAATGTTTTTGATCCCCTGCTGATTTTATATGTTTGCCCACTGACAAAGACATGATCAGTCTATAATTTTAATGGTACATTTATTTGAACAGTGACAGACAGAATAACTGGAAAAAAATTCAGTAAAACGCATGTCAAAAATTTTATAAATTGATTTGCATTTTAATGAGCGAAAGAAGTATTTGACCCCTGTGACAAACATGACTTGTGGCAATATCATTGTTGGCAATCACAGGTCAGACTTTTTTTGTAGCTAGCCAACAGGTTTGCACACATCTCAGGAGGTATGTTGTCCCACTTCTCTTTGCAGATCTTCTCCAAGTTATTAAGGTTTCGAGGCTGATGTTTGGGAACTCGAACCTTCAGCTCCCTCCACAGATTTTCTATGGGATTAAGGTCTGGAGACTGGCCACTCCAGGACCTTAATGTGCTTCTTCTTGAGCCACTCCTTTGTTGCCTTGGCCATGTGTTTTGGGTCACTGTCATGCTGGAATACCCATCCACGACCCATTTTCAATGCCCTGGCTGAGGTAAGGAGGTTCTCCCCCCAAGATTTGACGGTACATGGCCCCGTCCATCGTCCCTTTGATGTGGTGAAATTGTCCTGTCCCCTTAGCAGAAGAAAGACACCCCCAAAGCATAATGTTTCCACCTCCATGTTTGACAGTGGGTATGGTGTTTTTGGGGTCATAGGCAGCATTCCTCCTTCTCCAAACACGGCGAGTTGAGGTGATGCCAAAGAGCTCGATTTTGGTCTCATCTGACCACAACACTTTCACCCAGTTCTCCTCTGAATCATTGAGATGATCATTGGCAAACTTTAGACGGCCTGTACATGTGCTTTTTTGAGCAGGGGGACCTTGCTCCACGGCGTAGTGTGTTACCAAGTTTTTCCTTGGTGACTATGGTCCCAGCTGCCTTGAGATAATTGACAAGATCCTCCAGTGTAGTTCTGGTTCTGATTCCTCACCGTTCTCGTGATCATTGCAACTCTACGAGGTGAGATCTTGCTTGAAGCCCCAGACCGAGGGAGATTGTTCTTCTTTTCTGTTTCTTCCATTTGCAAATAATCATACCAACTGTTGTCACTTTCTCACCAAGCTGCTTGGCGATGGCCTTGTAGCCCATTCCAGCCTTGTGTAGGCCTACAATCTTGTCCCTGACATCCATGGGCAGCTTTTTGGTCTTGGACATGGTGGAGAGTTTGGAATCTGATTGATTGCTTCTGTGGACAGGTGTCTTTTATAGTGGTAACAAACGTGATTAGGAGCACTCCCTTTAAGAGTGTGCTCCTAATCTCAGCTTGTTACTTGTATAAAAGACACCTGGGGGGCAGAAATCTTGCGACTTTTCTCTGAACAAGCTTTTTTCAAGTGAAAATGACAGATACTTTTGCTTCTTCTGGCCGTTAATAATTATTCAGATGAAACAATCTGAGAGGTTCACACTTTATTTTAAAGGGTCATAAGCGTAAAAGTTTTGGAGCCACTGGACTATACAACAAACTGTGGTTTTAATATTCATCCCATGTTGTATAAAACTGTTAAGCTCAGTTGTGAGAATTCACACACTTTAATTTAATCTTTGGCCAAGAACAATTTCTTTAACATAGAAGTCCTGCTGTTGACAAAATAAAGAAATTGCAGCCTGAAGCTGTGTGATGGAATCTGTAACTTATTCGGCCAATCTGACTTTCTAAACCAGCTCACGTGCACAAGAACACCCTCTTCAAAAATACATTTTCTTCCCTGGTGGTGTCACATAAGTTTACCTGATCTTTTCTGCTAACACGACACCACTTACTCTCACACCCACCTGGTACTTTGTGCTTTCCCCGCTGGCCAGGAGCCCCTTCTCAGCCTCCAGCTCCAAAACCTCATGGAGCAGATCCTCCTTTTCAGCGTACAACCTCTCTGTTCCAAACCTGAATATACCAAAAGCACACACACAAATATTAAACTTCTTTTTGGTAAGGCCGAGCACATATCTCCACCACACATTTGGGTGGTTTGCAGATGACTCTGTGATTGTCCGCCTGCAGGACCATAAGGTGGGCCATGGACCAGTCAGTTTCATCAAATGGTGAGATGACTCATACTTGCAACTCAGTGTCTCTAACACAAAAGAGATGCTTATCGACTTTAGCCGATAACCTTCTGTTATTGCACAGACTTTTGTCAATGACAGAGCAGTAGAGACAGTAAGCCAATATAGGTGCCTTAGCATGGTTAACAAAAATAGGCTGGGAAAGTTTGTTAAACTTTGCAAAAATACCACTGGCACTAACTTGAATGATGTTGGCCATGTTTATCAAGTTAGAGCCACTCAGAGGGTGAAGGCCATTCTGGTGGACCCTCAACACCCTCTTCTTGCAGAGGAACATTTCCCTAGGAGGGCCAAATCAACAGATATCTGAAATAATTTGTTCTGTCAGCTGTTGGGTTTTTAAACAAACTGTAGGCATAGTTATATACTCTAATACAGGACTGATGGACACACAGTGCTCTATATCTCATGGTAACTTTACTGTATGTTTAAAACATCTATTGTATGTTATGTATGTCTTCTATTTATTTACTTATGATGTGTATTGACTACTGTTTGCAAACCAAATTGCCCCTCAGGGACAATAAAGGTTGTCAAATCAAAACAAATCAAATTCCAACTGTACTATTTCCTCAGGAAACAGTACAGTTTGCTTTTTAACATCTCCTGAAATGTGGGTCATATGTGACTGAACCAACCTGCGCAGACTGGGGAAGTCTTGTTTCTTGTAGTAGTCTAGCAGCAGCATGGTCCTCTCTCTACACCTCCTGGCATCCACCTCAAAGTTTTCATCTTGGAGCGCTGCAGTAATGATCTCCCCCACACGAGCCCAGATCCGTCCTGATAAAGATGGATGAGGCCATTTGTTTGTATCCAATCAGCTCATGAGTACACAGGAATGTCCATGTTCACAGGAAATATGCACAGGGATGTCTTTACAACGGTTACACTTAATAGTAAATTGTAAGGTTGATATTCATTGTTAATCTTGTTTTAGATGGATGAAAAATGTTCCTCTATTAAACAATATTGTAGCTTCGTTAAAAATATTTTTTACGTGACAACACATTGTCTACATTTTTCACGCAGGAACTGCAGCTCTCTACATCTAAACATTATTAGAGTGTTTTAAGTGATTAGTGATTAGTCCTTTAATAACAGGGCTGACCTGGTTCTTTGGAGGCAAAGGGGTTCTGGGCGATGACCTCCCGCAGAAGGATGATGTCATGTCGTGCTGAAAAACGCACCTGACGCTTCCGTGGTGTTGTGGAAGGGCCAGCGAGGGAAAAACCTGAAAGTGTGAGTAGAATAGAACTGATGCAGCCTATAAACATGCTGAAATGCAGTGAGGTGAGAGGATGAATTTGAACCATCGTACCACACAGATGATCTCCTTCAAAATTGTTCTGACCTTCTTCACATGGAAACAAATAAATTATATCAATATATATTAGCCTACATGATCAAAATTATTATTGTTATTATTATTATTATTACAACAAGTCCAACTTTGGCATATGTAAGAGCTGAAAATTGGAAACCCAGTGTTTAAAAACATTAATACAATTATTTGACCAAACCCATTGTACTTCCTAACATGAGTGTACCAGTGGTATTAAACAATGATAGATTTATATAGCTATTCAACAATTGTAGCCTATTTTATTCCGTGGATTATTTTACAATCACAGTCGACTGCTGTAATTACATGTTTTTTTCATGCAACTACTATGATGGAGAATCAATTGGGTCTGCGTTGGTGCAGAGAGGTAAGTGGGACAGCAGCTTTGTCACAGTACACACGTGCAAGCAGCCGGTAGCCCACAGCTACAAGAATTCAGACACAAAAACCAGGCAAATAGTCTGTAATGCACTGACAGTCCTACAGAGGATACAGCACGTTCAATGCCAAACCATGCGTCAGAGGAGGAGGAGGAGGAGGAGGAGGAGGAGGAGCATATGTGCACGACTCGAGAGCACCAAAATGCCATTCAGGATATGTTAATATAAGTGGTTGAAAGGCGTGATAGACGTGCAGGTGATAATGTATCTCACCGTTGTTGATCGGCACTTCCACCACTACCCGTTCCATGTTTCTGCTTGGCGCATCCGGGAACCGGCTGACGCGCGCTGTACACGTCCACTCACCAGTACAGGTCCCCTACTGACGTGTAACTGAACTTGGCGGAGAATCAGAATCTGGCAAAACGGAGGTCCCGCTCTTCACTTGCAGTTGCACTTACTCTGTGTGACCGCAAGATGGAGGCAAAGTACTGCTGACGGGAATGGAGACCTGTTCGTGTTTAGCTTTCTGAGTAAAATGGTGTTATTTCTACAGCGAATAATATTTCTCCCGCAGCCACCGTGATATAGTTAATAGGTAGCCTAATACAGTTCTGTGCTTTTTGTCAGCAATGCAGATTGTCGGCACAAATCATTTGGGTCTGCCACAGCTAACAATTTCTACAGTAGCCTAATAACACGCTTTGACTGCCCCTACAGCACAGATAAAAAGTTAGATAAAAATGATTCTTCCCACAATAGTCGTGTATTTATACAAATTGCTTGTTCTTGGAGTAAAATATGGCACATAAATAAAAAGCATTGCTTCAAAGCAATGACAAGGATGCTTTAGTCGTATTCTGTGTTAGGACTGCAAATTGCGTTATCCTTTTAGTTTTTATCTGCCCATATATATGTCCCATGAACACCAGCTGGTGGATTTGACCTTTTTTGTGAGGTGACTAAAGACTTGAGACTAATTTTTAATATTAGTTACAGTAGGTTTTTGTATTTTTTGTAAATAGTTGTAACCTATGTTTTGTTTTGTAGCATAAATGTAAAGTTTGCAAAGTTTGTAGTTAATAGGCAACACAAAGCACACAAAACTGCCAGATATGCATGGATATTTAAATATTGATAAATAATAATGAAGACAGAGAACTTTTGATGCCAGGTGTCACATTTTTTTATATAGCTCAAATCTGTCCTGTGAGTCAAATATGTTCTTCCCTCCTAACTTCCCATCTCTCTTGCCATTTTAGAGTTTTGCTAACTGCAGTGTTTTTCTACCCATCAGCTTCTTTCATTCCCCTTTTCTTTCGCCTCAAACATTTTACCCCCTGAATTCCAGGGCCAATATGATATTTAAAGACCCAACGGATCTTCAAAGTGTCAATAAAAAGCACTTGAGTTCTTGTGAACAGTGTTTAGCATTAACTGACCACTAGGTGTCCCCCGTATAAAAATAATCTTACCCACCATCATTTGACTGATGAACTTCTCATCCTCACAAAACAAAAGGACTTCAGTTAAATTCCTGTCCCTGAGATACCATTTATTTTATCACCTTATTTCTCCATTTAGTTTTATTTGCCATGTAATTTGTCAATCTCTGCTTTATCCACGTATCCATATTTTCTAACCACTGGGAATAAACTGCCGAATGCTGTGATTTTCAGTTAACCTTGGAGAGCTGTGGCTGGTTATTTGGTTTTTGTATAATATACAGCTTATTCACTTGTACAGTATATGCAGTACACATTACAAGTTAAAACCACATATAAGTAACTATGTGTATGGATGTCTATCTTTCATATACAGTGAGCCAAAATATTAAATGAAAGAATGTTAACCATTTCCTCCCCTTTTTATTTAAAGGGAAGAACCAATTGCTCCATAGAAGGAGAGAGATGCTGACTTGTGAATGTTGAGCATGGACTCAGTGTGCTGTTTTACATATGAATATTAATTTGCAAAGAAAGGGAATACATATTATGATCAACATATTGTTTAAACATACAGTCCATTCTGACTGCCGCGAATGCTCTGGAGGCTAATAAATACTGTGTAGGTGTAACAGTGATGCCTTAAGTGATTGAAAAGCTTGTTCAGAAAGCCACTGACTTTGCCTTACTTCATGTTTTACAGCAGAAATAAGAATGCACCTCATTATATTTAGCTTGGCTGAAAATGACTTGTAATTTTAACTTCTGCATTGCAATTAGATGCCGTTTCTAAGGTGATTCTGCAACCATCCAGTGCTAAAAATATCCGGACTTCAGAGTGACTTTGATATCAAATGCTGCACTTTATCAGAAGTCTCATGCTCCAGTTGTATACTGGCAAATATTTAGAGTAATCTCCCCACCTAACATTTTTTTAGGTTTTGTGAATTTGTTGTTGTGAAGTTTACCTTGAATACTGACAAAAAAAACACAAATCCTCTGTTAAACACCTGTATGTATGCTTTTCCTCTACTTGGAAGTTCCCCTGCAGTGCTCATCTGTTTATTAAACAGTCAGCCAGTGATGTGCAGAATATTACATATGTATTTGGTTTATTTAGTGTCTGTCAGAAACACCCCTGCAGTTAAAAAATTATATTTTAGGTATGTAGCCAAAGCTGCATGACTTGCAATGAATGCTAAAGCAGGAGGAAAAGGGAGAAAATAAATCATCAAAACACAAAAGTGAGAGTCACAAATGGTCACACTCTCTCCAAAAAATATAAAGAGGCCTGCAGGTGCTCACACAGTCACGCTCTATCATTGCTACTTTAGCATTTTTCTGAGCAAACCCACATTTGCATGACGTTGCTGCTGACATAATGAGCGGGAGATAAGCAGGGAGGCAGACCTGGGACGTGGCAACCTGCTGCATCGTAATCATTTGATTATTTGGTTAGAGATGCTGGGGGAGTGTTTTGAGGACACATTGGGAGAGAGAGAAAGCGTGGAGAGAGGATTGACAGGGAGATGAGTCACAGCTGCTTTTTTTTTTAATGAGAGGAAATCAGTTTTGTTTTCTGCATTGGAGACTTTAGGAGAGAGTTAATGGAACATGGCAACCTTCCAAGTAAAGGCGCCAGTGCTGCCCACGCACTCATTTCTGGTGACTGAGTGTTGCTGTTATTTAGAACCCCCTGGACTGAACAGCGACACAGGACACAAAAGTAGGAAACTGTTTTTAGTAAAACAGAACTACATGACAGAGACTGACAGATGATATTAAGACAAAATATTTATGTGTATATGTAAGTATAAGTTGTATAAAATTACTTTTATTGAATGTCATCATAATTATATTCAACTGTTATACACCGACAATTATACAGTACAAATCATTACTATGGTTATGCACATAAAAGAATAGAAAGCAGGCTCGCTCCAGCTGGTATCATCAGTGCCAAGATGTCACTGGATTGTTAATTAGCCAGGACACACAGTCCTGGTCCTACTAGGATCAAATAACTTTTCCAGTACATGCTTCAAAGCAGACCGACCTCCACAAGATCAACCTGAAAAGTTTTACTTCTTAGCAACAATCTGACACCCTTCCAAATTGCCTCCTCTCCACTCTTTTGCAGTGTTGAAAAAGCATGTCCCATGTCTCTGCCTTCAGAGAAATTTCTGTGCATCCCTTCTCTCCCCCTCTACTTCCATTTCGCTGCATTATTATTGTGTGTATTATATTCACTTTGCTCAGTTGTAGGTATTTGAATCAGATTTTTATCTGCCTCACCTTCACAGTTATAGAAAACTGACATCAATGGGGTAACTACCTAGGGAAAGAAGTAAGAGTTAACAAAATAGTGCAATAAAATCAATCGTAATTGTCGGTAAGGAGACTGAAGAAGAGCCCATGAAGTGCATGTTAGAGGTTAGGGCTTAGAAGTGTTCCCGGAGTTTTCAAGAGCTTCTTGAAGTTAGAGAGCGATGCCCCTGCTCTGATGGTATGTGGTAGCTCGTTCCACCATCATGGTGTTAAAGATGAGAACAGCTGGGATTGAAATTGCTTTTTGCGTAAGGATGGCAGGCGTTCGTTGGAGGAGCGCAGTAGCCGAGAAGGAACGTAAGCTTGTAAAATGGAGTTTAAGTAGATGGGTGCGGACTCAGTAGTCACTCTATATGCAAGCATTAGCGACTTCAATTTGATTTGGGAGGCCATGGATAGCCAGTGCCTTGGGGCACCCCTGTAGTGAGGCAGTGAGAGGAGGACAAATGTCCTTGACACGGCATATTGTAGGAACGCCCAGAGGATTGGAACCACAGGAGTGCTTTGCCTGAGATAGCAGGATACTCTGATTGACTCTGTCAAAGGCAGCTGATAGGTCAAGCAGGATAAGAACCAAGGACTGGGATGGAGCTTTAGCTGACCTTAGGGCTTCTGTCACAGACAACAGAGCCGTTTCTGTTGAGTGGACACTCTGAAAACCAGACTGATATGGATCTAGGAGATCATCCCATGAGAGGAATTCTGAGAGCTGTTTAAAGACTGCCCATTCGTTAGCTTTGTATAGAAATGATATAAGTAAAACTGGCCGATTGTTCTCAACTTGTGTAGGGTTGAGGGAGGGCTTTTGAGTAGGGGTGTAACCCGAACCCTTTGTGGTTGGGAAGTTTCCTGAAGTCAGAGAAGTATTCATCACATAAGTGATTGCCGGCACCACGGTAGGAGAAATGGCGTGGAGGACATTGGTAGGAATTGGGTCCATTGGGCATGTAGTGAGATGACTACAGGTCAGGAGTTCTGATATCTCGCTCTCCGTGAGAGGAGTAAACAAGGAGAGTGAAGTGCCATTGATCTTGAAAGACATACAGTAGAATCATCCAATCAGCTGTACTTTGCAATACACTAATAGTGCATAAACAAAAATTCAGATTGCACGTTAAAATTTAAATGTATCTTATAAAGAGATAATAAGAAAGAGTAATTCTGTACAGTATAGATACATATATTTATATACTATATACCTAAAATATTATATACTGAGATGTACACAATATATGTGTACATAAAAGTAAATATTTTTTTAGGTATTTGGCTGATTTTTAGGATTTTCCAGTTAGGTTTGGAAGGCTTCAGTAAAAGTGAGTAATCTGAATGTCATGTCATGATATATTTTAGAAGAGCCTTCAAGGTTGTCTACTCACATTTCATCATTCATTAGGCTGTAAAGCACTCACACTTAGTTGTATGGCAATAGTTCCCCTTTATTGCACCTTGACTATGGATGGGCTAAACGTCAGCAGGCATTACCAAAGGCAGATCAAAGAGAGGAAATGACACGCTATCCACAACATACTATAACAGGAAAAAACATCCCTAGTTCTACTATTATAAATGAAGTAGAAGTGCTTCTCAAACAGTAAATGTGGATGGAATATTAAATTGATCTCAGTGAGCCACATATTCCACATAATAAATGTATTTTAACAAGTGGTGATTGTGGTCATGCAGGTATTTTCTGTTTCTGGTTCCTGTGTCATATTTTGTGTAAGAATGCATTTCCCCATTTGACCTTTTCATTCAGTCTCATTCTTCTGCGTCCTTTCAAAGTCACACAGACATACTGAGCACTTCAGTGAGTGTCAGATTATATAAAACTACAGACTGAGTTTAAAGTTTAAACATTTGGATTCAGCAAGTGTCTTCTTGAAGGACAGTCAGAGGACGGAGCAGATGTACTCTCACTTACAGTTTCCTCCCATTACAGTCAGGTCCCATCCACACTACTCCGTCTTTGTTTAAAAACGAAGTTTTGTAACGAATACGATCTCCGTCCACACCAGCGTT